GGGTTGGCAGCAGGCGGGTTGGCGGCCGGAGGGTTGGCGGCCGGAGGGTTGGCGGCAGGAGGGTTGGCGGCCGGAGTAGTCTGGACAGCAGGGGGAGGGTTGACGGCGGGGGGAGGGTTGACGGCAGGAGGAGGAGAGGGCTTGTTAGCCGGAGGGGGGTTCTTGTTGCCGGGAGGAGGAGGAGGCACGTTGGTGGGGGGAGGAACGTGAAAGGAGCTGGTGACAATGGTGCAAGGGCAGTCTGGATGAGGCCGTGTTAGTGATTGAACGGGATGGGCCGGAGCTGGGCGGACGGAGAGTGCACATACCGGTAATGGTCAGGGTGGTGGCCTTGGTGACGGTGATGGTCTTGTTACCGTGGACGGGGATCAGAGTAGGGCCCTGTGAAGTCGGTGTTAGTCCATCATATTTCATACACGAGATTCGTCTGTGCTGCGCTGGCAGGCAGGCCGTGGAAGCTCGGGACGACGGCGGGCGGTCCGACTCCGAAGATCCGGCACGTGGCTAAAACGCTCTCGGGAAATAAAGAGACATACAGGGCAGAAGGTAGTGAAAGCAGTAACGACGGTAGTATAGGTGGTCATGTTGCCAGGCTCAGGTCGGGTGCCGTTCATCATGGCGGCGGCGCCGGTAGCGAGAGCGATGAGAGAGAACTTCATGTTGACTAGGTTTCGATGTTTGTTGGATATGGTGCAAAGCGAATGTGTGGATATTGAAAAGAACCAAAAAGTTTTGAAAGCGTTGTGAACCTAAGCTGTAGTTTTTAGATGAAGAGAAGGGGGGGAAAAAAAGAAGTTTTATGCTGGGGGTTGCGGAGGGTCTTTGTAGTCCAACGGCCGGTGGGGGGTTCGTGAGAACCGGTTGCAGCGGAGCGAGATATGGGTGGTGCTATCAATACGGCCTAGCAAGAAAGAGACGAGAATAGAATCGAAACCGGCCAAGGAAGTAAAAAAATAAAATAATAATAAAAATAAACCAATAGAAAAGAAATACAATCGAAATCTGGTTAGTTGGGCATTAGGCGAGGGTTGGATCGATGATGATGAAGGTGAAGGCGGCGGTGCCGTCGCCGGATCCGGATAACGCTGTTGCGGATCCGGAAGTCTGGCGCCCCCACCCGGTTCTTAGGTGTAAGCCGTACGGGCCTTTTTTTTTCCCACTGCGAAGCGGGCTGGTTTTTTGGTCGGCGAAGAGAAGAGCGACGCTTTTCCCTTTTCGAGATGAAACTAGCTACTTGTTGTCCATATTTTTTTGTATTTTTTGTATTTTTTTTTGGCCTGCAAATTGCCTCACACCATTCTGGACGGGTCGTCCGTCGCAGACTGGCTGGAGAGAGCCGCGCCTTTACGCAGGAGAAACCTTAAAAAAAATAAAAATAAAAAATGATTAAAAACAGAGGAACAAGTGAGATTGGCTCCCATCAAGGGATAGATAGTGTAAACAAACAGGAGCAAGTAGACATCTGACGCCATATAATGTCGTTGCTGCCATTGCGTACAATACCTATACAGTAGCCTCTACACCATCACGTCCTTCTGGGCTTCCGCCACCAACTTCCCTCAGCCCAACGGCTCAGCCTAGCAGCAGTTAGTTTCCGAGTGTAGGCACGGCGTATGAGCTAAAACCAGGAAAAAAAAAACCTGGCGTCTCCGGAGCCTTGATAGTGGGACCCCTGTCCATCCAGGCTCCGGTGTGGGTCTCTTTTTTGGCCTTGCCTCCGCAACGCCGTCGGCCCTGCCTTGCTGCAAGGCACACGGCTTTGGTCTAACAAGCTCCCAGGACTAACTATTGATTTTGGGGCCCAGAGGGTGGGGAGGAGAGGATCGTTCGATGTTCCTTCCGGGTTGTTATCCCGCCCAATCATCCGCTCCTCGCGGCAGTGATCCGGACAGGTACAGCATGGGATGTGCGCAAAGTGGCACGATGGAGTTGGTTTGTGGGAAGAAATTCGCTTGGCGGGATTTTTATGACGGCAAGCGAGAAGCCCAAACATGGCGTCACCAGCTCCTCCAAAGTTGCTGAACACGAGGCGGATCCCCCGTTAGTCCAAGTCGGGAAGAAAAATAAAGAACGACAAGGAAGAACTGTGGGCAACAAGGTGGCGAGCTCCGTACGCACCGGAGACTCCCATCGCCCATCTCACCTTTTATTACTTATCTCGTTGTAGTTGTCCACCTGGCGCCAGGCCACCCAAACTCTCTTCTCTGGGACTGGAAGCGCGTCCAGCGTACGCCATTGGTGAGTCGCCCGTCAGCTTGACGAAACTAACCAAAAGGTGTGGTGGTGGCGGCGGTGGTGTGGTGAGGCTGTTTACAGCTTACCGAGACGACAAAGTGGTTGTTGGCCAGCCCTGTAACGAGGAACAGCCTGGATAGGCTGCTACACCGTATCCTCGCAGTGTGTTCGTCTTTTTTTTTTCTTCTCAAGTTTCGATTCTGGACTAGCGGCTCGTATTTGCAGTGGCTTGTTTTCTGGCGGCGTTGCAACGGCCATTGGAATGCTTCTGGTAAGCGTCCTCGGTGCGAGCCTCGTGACGTTGGGAACGGCCGAGCAGCTTTGCTTGCCTCTGCGGTTCGAACATTTCAACCTGGCCAAGTGGGAGCTGGGCGGTTTAGAAACGGCGTAGTACCGGGGCTGCTGCAGAGCTAGACACTCTCGCTTCTTGGAATACAGCACGAGGGTGCATCAACGGAAAGCGTCAATGGGAGCTCGTGAGTTTGTGCCGTGCATGCATATACATTGATGTTTCCGTCCCGGCATGTACGTGCGATACGCTTCCAAAGGTCCAAAGACAGGTTAGATGATGGTTTCGAGGTACTCATGGATATGGAGTGGCACGGGAGCCATCTCGATGATGTGCTTTGTGCATATCTGATGGTGGTCCGGCTCGGAAATGAAATAAAAACGGACCGCAACCGTAGTTATAACTCCGAGCACGGGCTCTGCGATCCGCGTAGATCTGCTTGTTCAATGCATGGATAGCTGGGTTCAGCATGGGTCATTACAACCCTGTCTCGCCGGCCGATGAAAATCTTGTTGTTGGCAGACTGGTCGCGGCGAAACTACCTAATTTGGTAGGTAGGAAGTGTGCGCTATGACAGCTAAAGCCGATGCACATTTCCGGTCAACGGGTGAAGGAATAAGTCGTTGCGAGCGCGGATGATTGCATCCGTCGGTGCTGGTAGCGTCACTTACCCAGTTCTGTCTTGGAACCTGGTGTTTCACTGATCAGCAAAGGTCGACGTGTTGGATGATGATTGACATGACTACCAATCAGACATGAAATCTTCTGGAAAACATATACATGCGGGCAGCATTGCTCCAGGGTAGCACCTTCACTGCCTGCGCTTACCCTGCCTCCAAAGCTCGTGTGCGATGCAGGCATTCCTGACAGTCCAGGAAATCGATGCTTTATTGGCCCCATTGCAAACCTGCAAAGGCACTTGTTGCTTTTTTTCTTCAACTTTGTCAAAGCCGTCACCGGCGAAGTGGGTGGCCGCGGAAACGCTGTTGCGATTGGCAACACTTGGAAGACAGGAATTCATCTACCGCGTCCAGCATTCCAAATGCATTCCAGTCCTGCCCAACCACCAACTTGTCAAGGACGCACGCATGAGTACCGAAATCCGGCGTCATTGACTCACCAGAATCGGCGCAATTGGAACCTGACAAACGCCGGATCCCGACAGGCACAATCAGTGAATGCATTGTCGCCATGCGTTGGCAGGCTTTCGTCACCGGGGCCGTCCACCAGCCAACAACTGCACCAGGATTTGCAATGGGCCATTCGGATATTGATTCGCATTCAATATTCACGCAGTTGGTCGCAGCTCGCCGCATCCAGCACGCGCTGCACTACCACAACCACTGTGCAAACTTCCGAATGCATCCCGCCGTGACGCAAACCGTTTTTGCACCAATGCGTGGCCAACCCCGTTTTCCGCGCCTTCATTTGTAGAATCATATCGGAATTGCTCCAAATGCAGTCGCACTCCTGCACGAGCCGAATTGAGTGTCGGCGTAACCCGGCGTCCAAAAAGAGTTGTTGCGGTGTATTTCTGTCCATGCCTCTTCTAACTAACGGAATTTGGCAGCCCAGACGCAAGTGGGATTTCGGGTTTTTTCTTCCCAGCCGCCCACCTCAGGCCTCTGTATCATTTACCCCACCAACGGACCTTTCCATCCCAACACAAGCCATTGAGTTGCTTCATTCCCCTTTTGTAGCGCAGGCGCCCAAGGCAGACGCCCTTGTCGCCTCAATTTCCAAATATGGCATCAAAACTTCATCACCCCAATGTGACAATGTCCGTGCAAATGCCCCCGCGTCTGGCCACCGGCCTTTGCACCATGGCCAGGGACCCCTGATGTAGTGGGGCTTGAATACCTCTCTCTACACCAAATTTGCCACCAAATTGCATGTACCTTTATCACGTGGAGGGGTTGAACCGCGATAAAGTCATGATACCCAACCAGACAAGCCCTCATTTCCTTACCGCCCCCGCATTGCCCTCATTGCAATTGCTACCTAGATACTCCAAAGCTGCTCGGAGCGTCTCGTTTTCTTCTTCACCCCAAGTCCATCAGACAAGATGCCTGCCGAAACCACCACCCTCCAGCAGTTCGAGACCGTCTGGCCCAAGCTCCAGGCCGCCATCCTCGAACATGCCCAGTCCTACAAGCTCCCCCAAAAGGAACTGGAGTGGCTCAAAGAGGTACGAACCCATTGTCGTGATCAAGTGCCAAACAGCAGCTCACATGCAGCACATAGAGCCTCGAGACCAACACGCTCGGCGGCAAATGCAACCGCGGCATGTCCGTCCCCGACTCCGTCTCCCTCCTCCTCGGCGAGAAGCTCTCCGACGAGCAATACTTTCACGCCGCCACCCTCGGCTGGATGACGGAGCTGCTGCAAGCCTTCTTCCTCGTCTCCGACGACATCATGGACAGCAGCATCACCCGCCGCGGCAAGCCCTGCTGGTACCGCATGCCCGGCGTCGGCATGACGGCCATCAACGACGCCTTTATGCTCGAGTCGTCCATCTACACGCTGCTCAAAAAGTTCTTCCGCACCCACCCGGCCTACATTGACCTCGTCGAGCTCTTCCACGAGGTCGCGCTGCAGACGGAGCTCGGCCAGCTCTGCGACCTGCTCACCGCCCCCGAGGACCAGGTCAACCTCGACAACTTTTCCATGCAAAAGTACCAGTTCATCGTCATCTACAAGACGTCCTACTACTCATTCTACCTCCCCGTCGCCCTCGCCCTCCACCAGCTCAACCTCGCCACGCCAGCCAACCTCAAGCAGGCCGAGGCCATCCTCATCCCCCTCGGCGAGTACTTCCAGGTCCAGGACGACTACCTCGACAACTTTGGCCTGCCCGAGCACATTGGCAAGATCGGCACCGATATCAAGGACAACAAGTGCTCCTGGCTCGTCAACAAGGCCCTCGAGCTGGCCACGCCCGCCCAGCGCCAGATTCTCGAGGAAAACTACGGTCAAAAGGACGACGCCAAGGAGGCCGTCATCAAGAAGCTCTACGACGACATGAAGCTCAAGGATGTCTACCTCGAGTTTGAGGAGAAGCGCGCCGAAGAGATCCGCGCCATGATTGCCAAGGTTGACGAGAGCGACGGCCTCAAAAAGGAGATTTTTGAAGTCTTTCTGGCAAAGGTGTACAAGCGCACCAAGTAAGGGACGGTCATGGGCAAGGTGTGGCGCGCACCGGTGTTGAAAGACGCCAGTCAGCAACGCCTACAAAAAAAGTACATTAATGAAAACGCTACATAAAAGTATCTAATTGCTACGCTCGTCTTATATAGTGTACCGGGTGTGTACATGGGTGCATGCGAGCCTGAGCTCCGCTGCCGAATATCATGAGAAATGCTCGAAAAGTACAGTATCCATTCGATTTCAGTGCCGTCAACCAACCATTGCACAGAGGTGACATTCTTTGCCTTGACTTGCAACCCAATTCAAACGGCATGGCCAGAGAGCACACGTGGTGATTGACTTTACAGAATGATGAGCCCCCAGCTGGCTTTGAAATACATAGGTATGACCTGTGACTCCCGCAAGCCCCCTACCTACCATGACAATTATATCACTGAGCTCAAGGGCGTCAATATCCAATCTCCAACAAACACCATACTTGTGAGGGGTAACCAGAGAATTTGCTGTAAGCCTCCAAGTATAAACTGCCAGAGACTTGTAAGTAAGAGAACGCGTGCTAGCAATCTTATACCATGGTCACCGAGACGCCGCGTTTATTTTCATCTTGTCCACTAATTCGGGACATAGCAACATCTCTTTGGGAGTGGTTCCCTAGTATGTTGGTTCGTTCTCCGTGTCGCATAAGACGCCCATGCGTTGCGGAAGCTGTCTTACACAATTGCATTTAACAATGTTTGCATCTCATTTTCTGGCCAATTGCACCTTGTTGGACCACGAATTAGTCGAAGAGATCATCAAAAACGGATCGACAGATAACCCGGGCCCATAAACAGTCACGAGAGCATATCCTTGCCCTGGAGATGACTCGGGTTTCGACTGTGGGCACTGGCGATGGCGTGATGGCACACGATGCACGCCCGAAATCGGTGCAGCGCCCTCGTCGGCCCGTTCCGTCTCGTGCTTTTCACAGTCTTTTCAGCCATCAACACGACCTATCCGTCCAACACAATGTCCGACACTGTTGAAAAGACCGCAGTCAGTGCCACCACCACCACACCCACTGAAAAACAGCCCGCACTCCAACCTCTCGATGCCTCCTCCGCCACTACCCTCCAAGAGGAGCAGCCCGTCCGCCAGAAGTGGTACCAGTGGTTCTCACCGAGCGACACGCCCGAGGAGCGGCGTCTCATTCTCAAGCTGGACCTCCTCATCCTCGTCTTCGTCTTCCTCGCCTACTGGGCCAAGGTGCTCGACCAGTCGGCGCTGAGCGCGGCCTACGTGAGCGGCATGCGGGAGGACCTGCACCTCTTTGGCAACGAGCTCAACTACCTCAACACGGCGTACATGGTGGGCTACATCACGCTGCAGGTGCCGCTGACGCTGCTCATGACGCGGCTCTCGGCCAGCTGGTGCATCCCCGCGGCCGACGTGCTCTGGGGCGTGCTCACGCTGGCGCAGTACCGCGTCAACAGCGTCGGCCCGCTCTACGCCGTGCGCTTCCTCATCGGCGCCGCCGGCAGCCTCTTCTTCCCGGCCGTCCAGTGGTACCTCGGGTGCTGGTACACGCGGGCCGAGGCCGGCCGCCGCGGCGCCCTGTTCTTCGTCGCCAGCCAGGTCGGCGCCATGAGCGCGGGCTACATCCAGTCGGGTGCATACGCATCGCTGCACCTGCGCGCCGGCATCGAGGGCTGGCGCTGGCTGTACATCATCTGCTTCGCGTGCACCATACCCGTCGCCGTGCTCGGCTTCGTCTGCCTGCCGGGCCTGCCCGAGGCGCCGCGGCTGACGTTTCTGACGGCGCGCGAGGCGGCGCTCGCGCGGGCCCGCATGCGCCGCGACCGCACGGAGCCGCGCAGGCCGCTGACATGGGCGGCCGCGCGGCGCACGCTCGCGGGCTGGCACTTTTGGGTGCTGGTGGGCTTCGCCTTCTTCTTCTCGCAGGCGGACGGCGTGTCGGCCAACAGCGGGCTGCCGCTGTGGCTCAAGGCCGAGGGCTACGGCGTCGCGGCCATCAACACAATCACGACGGTCTCGCCGGCGGTGACGATTGCGGCGGCGCTCGTCTGCGGCGTGCTGTCGGACGCGCACGCCGACGCCAAGGTGCCGCTGATTGCGGCGACGGCGGTGCTCAACGCGCTGGCGGCGGCGGTGCTGGCCGTGTGGCGCGTGCCGGCCGGCCTGACCCTGGCCGCGTTTTTCCTCGCGGGCTCGGCCAATGGCGTCGCGCCCGTCGTGTACGCCTGGGCCAACGAGGTGTGCGCGGGCGACGCCGAGGAGCGCGCGCTGGTGCTGAGCAGCATGAACACGGTGGGCAACGCGTTTGGCGCGTGGCTGCCGCTGTTTGTGTGGAAGACGACGGATGCCCCGCGGTACCGGATCGGGTACGCGTGGGCTGTTGGTGTGGATGGCGGCGTGCTGGTCATGGTGTTTGTGCTGCGGTCGTTTTGGAACCGCGAACAGGCGGCGCGGGGAGCCGGCGGAGGGCGGCGCGGCAATGGGGAGTGAACGGGAGAGGGGACATTTGGAGGACAGGAGCAGATGATGGATTGTGATTAAAGGCGCGTTCAACTGTGTCAATACTACGGTATGTCACTGGCTACGGCTGCAAGTTGACTGTCTGGCTTGGCCCATGAGAGTGTCTACTTTTCACCCTGACATGAGTGGTTACGGGCCGGCACTTTTCTCCTGTCACGATAGAGACTCGACAACCAAGGCGCTACACTTTGCAACCAAAGTGCTAGAGTAGAGGTGACGACAGCTCAGGATTGCGTTACTTGCACAGAAGCGTCAAATTCCCTTGCCATCTCCGAAACTCACTGCCACACGCTTCCGTAGTTCACGTTGGCTGCAAAGCACACCGTGGTTTGTTAATTAGTGTTCGCCTGCTCGGACCAGAGTTGTATGCGACGGCCGGGAACGAGTGGGAGAAACGAGAAAACGAGCTTGCTTGCTGCCCGAGACCCGACGGCCAACTTGTGACAAAGCGAGAGTCAAGTTACAGACGCCTTCGGAGTAGCCGTGAGGGAGCGACTCGGTACCATTGTTGGAGCGAGTAGGACACGGCTAGGTAGGTACATTCACGTGCGAGGCGTTGGCGCGCCCTGAAGAAAACAATTGTCAGAAGCCGCAGGCTTTTATCCAAGTCACTTTGTGGTGATGGTTTGTAGTTGTACATACACGTCGGCATGTTCCGCCGGGGGCTATGCAACCTTTGAGTTGATGAGTGATCACGACCAAAAGTCACTGTACAAGGCGTCACGTCGGGTCGGGATTATTGGTGCAAACGCTTGACAGGCTTGCCTTTCTACAATTGGAAAAAAAAAATTCCCCCAAAAGAACAGCTCTCGCGACTTGCGTAGATGCAAAGAGAAAAATGCGTTTTGTCGGGTGACATGTTTGTTCTTGGCTCCCAATATTGCTGCAATAATACTAAGCGTGCCGAGCGAGGCTCATGTATTGGGTCGGTACGCATACAGGTGCAGGTGAGGCTGCCCTGTTGGTAACAGGTACCTATAGTTAACGCAGTATTACCTCCAGAGATACAGTACCCGTGAAGGCTGCAGCGGATCAAGTGAATAGCGGACGAGCTGCTGATGCAAGGCACAATGTACTGATACAACCACTGTAGCTGCACCTGTAGCGGTACCTGCAGCAGATTCCGAAGCACCGAGCAGCGCACCTTCCTCGCCCTGACTCTTGACACTCTTGACTGCCTTGACTCGGTTAGTTAGCCACGTTAGCCAGCCCACCGCCACGACACGTTCGTTTGACATGCCCAATTTGCAAAGCCCAAGCAGCGCCCAAAACTCAAAACGAAAACCAAGCCGCTGTTGCAACGACCTGCCCGATTCATCTCAGGCAATCGTTCCATTGCCTCAGGCGCGCCCGTTCAAGATCTCTCTATCGGTACCTTGCATTACCTAGACCGCCCAGCGGCAAACCACCGACTTGGAAACGTGTTGCGTGGTTTTCGCCCGTCCGCCGCCATCGGGGTTCTTTTCTGTCGGTCAGCAAATGCAGCATTTGCTGCAAGGCCACGGCCAATCCTTTCAGCCTCAAGCCCGCTGTTGCGCGATTTTCCATCTCGTCCCTCACCACAAGCAAGAAAAATAGAGCCAAAAAAAGGACGAGGCACAAGATGCGTTTGCCTACACACATACATACACATATACGTGGACCCAATCATGCTCATGCAACGACTGGCCTTCTGCAGTCATGCACGCGACCGGCTTGTATTCACATGCTTGCTTTTATGCCGCATCCCAATTTTGGTGACGACTACTACCTACTACAGACTGCATGAGTCGAGCCCTCTTTGGCTAACGGAACGGAGCCTAACGGAGACGTCTTTATCGACACCGAGGGCACCGAGGGCCAAGCTTTCGCCTCCCGTCAGGTACTTCCATGCCACTGCCGGTCCGCCGCACGCCATACCGTCAGGTACCTGGGGAGGAGCGATTCCGGCCGTATTAGAAGCCTCGTCCTCCAATCACGGCTTTCTGCTACGAAGAACTTTGCACGGACGACTACTGACAGAAAAGTGGAGGGCTTAGCAAAGTCAGAAGTTTGTCGGAATATCTGACTAGAGGTACGGAGTACACGACGAACATGTCGATTGTAAAGCGCAGCGCGGCTTGAGTCGCACGTTCCAGGCTGAAGAGAGTACTTTAAAACAATGCCACTCTTGTCGAACCGTTGCCAGTCACAAACTCTACCAACTGTCCCGCCCAATGCAGGCTGTAGGACAGCCTGCAGCGTCTGGAGAACAAAGAAATTGACTGATGCCTGCAGAGCAGCGCTCAGAGACATGCAACCGCGACAACGGAGCATGTAGGCTAGGATCAGACAGATGAGACAAGTCTGGCAGTAATATTTGGATCACTATGCGCCGAGTGGCGGCGATGCTCGAGACTTGAGTAGAGTCGCTTCTGTAACTACGAGGAGCACCACCACATTAGGCAGGTAGGTGGTAACTAATAACTGGTAACCGACTAATTCGTACGAGGTGGACACATAGGCAGCCAACAAAGACGTTCAAGAACCAGCGCGTCGGAAAACTGCCCGCCGGCGTATCTACCGGTGGACGCTCCGTTGAAAACTCTTAAAAAAAGCGTCGTTGGTATTGTCCACGCCGTCAAATACCGGAAAATACTGGGCCCCGAAAGGTACCTTTTGTCGATGCTTGGACGCAACGGAGAAAACTCTTTCGCTCTCCACCAGAACGGAGCAAGGAGCGGAACCGCTTTTTGATTCCAGAACATGGTCGGTAAACGGCTCTTATTATCTTGCCAGTTCTTACATGTCCACCGTTTTGTGACAGGGTATGTACCTCGACAACGATGCGAGAAGCGTCTACGAATACGGAATAGGACGGCGACTTCTTGTACATGGTGCCAGCCTGAGAATCGAATGGCGAGACTGGAAATGTTTGTCGGGACAAAGTTGCCGCCCAAACCATTGTCAGGTTAGCTACCTGCAGCGAGCTGTATTCAGCCCAAAATGAGGGAATAATGAACCAGAATCAGCCCTCTTGGCTCTTGTCCAGACGGCGGGCGCTGCAGCCTGCAGGTACATACATACAACAAGACAAAGGTTATGAGTACTGAGTGGCCACACCGTTCTCCGTCCCACTCACATCATAGGTGGCAACGGAGAGGATGAGACGTCGGGGCTAGTCAAGGTACAGGCGGTACTTTGGAACAGGGGACCTGTCCGCACAGTGTGACGCGGGATAATGGATCAAACTATGAATGGATAATGGATAATAATGAGGGGGGTGTGGACTGTGGCTTGCAAGTTGCATAGAGTCAGTCAGGTACAGACCGTACCGACCGCACACTTGGGCGCATCCACACCAGATAGACTTCCCGCCCATCCCAAGACACAACAGCAACGATGAATCCCCGGCAAGCCAGGCCGCCACGAACAGGTTGTATGTACGAGTATGTACAGTAACTATGTACTCTTGTATATCACACCACACAGAGAACCCCAAGTATCCCTACGTGGATACCCGGCTCCAGACTTTCTGGTCTAGAATCTTTGACACGACCCACGCCCTCGCTATGTACCTCGCTACCCAGTTAGCCAGAACCAGATGCTTCTTCAGACTTCTCACCTTTTGCCCCAGACGGCTTCACTTATAAAGCACCCCCCCCTCCCCGACCCCATTTCCTTTCTCCTCTCTTGTTGCACATACAATCCCTTTGAAAACATTCCTTCTCAACAAGTCGTCTGACTTTATTACTTCCTTTGACAGGAACCTCTTTGCTTCTTCATTCCTTTGAAAGCAAACCCTCACTCCCTCACCCACATACATATCACACCAAGATCTCGACGATCAACACTATCCTTGAACCTTTTTTCTCACAAAAGCTCATTCACCAAAACCCCCCCTATCAAAATGCACTTCACCCAGACTCTCTTCGGCCTCGCTGCCGCTGCCGCCGCTGCCCAAGCCGCCAACACGGTCACCTTCTGGACCCTGGACGACATTGAGCGCACCGTCTACTTCACCGCCAGCCCGGGCTCGCCCGACCTTGCGCCCGTCGTCGTCAGCAACAAGGAGAAGACGACCGTCACCTTCCCCGACAAGTACATTGGCAACTACTACGCCGTCCAGAAGGGCCAGGAGAACAAGCCCGGCATGCTGGGCGAGGTCGCCTTTAACGGCTGGAACGGCATGACCTACTATGACGTCTCCGCCATTGTCACCCCCTCGGACCACAACAATGTCAAGCAGATGTGGCCCGTCAACGAGGCCGGTCCCATGTCTGGCTGCGAGACGTTCCCTTGCGACAACGCCTACTGGGTGCACGACGACATTCAGACCAAGGTCACTCACTCTACCGAGCTCATGACCACTCTCGGTTCTGGCAGCACTGGCCTCACCTTTACCCTCTAAGCGCTTTCCTACGCTGCAAAGGGAAGACGAGAAGCATTGCATACCGCATGTTATAGTCGGCTAGTCGACTGATGCCAATGCTTCGCCCAGGATGGCACCAAGACCACCTTGCGTCTTTTGATGATTTTTTTTTGATTTTTCGCGAGTTTGCGCAGTGCGCCCTCGAAAGCATAAAATTGACTTTTATGGCTTATGAAATAGAAGTGTCGTTTTATTTTTTCTTTTCTTGCAGAAAAAAAGGCAAGAAAGAGATACCCCCCATGGGATGGAAACTGGAATGTTTATGACAATAGATGGCATATGGGTAACCAGGCGCAGAATGGAACAAAACAGAACAGTCTTATGATCGGGCAAGTGTGCTCATGAAAGAGTCAATCCTGACATGAGTGCCTTGCAGGACAGGACAGAAAAAAAAAAGACAATGTTTACACGAGAACATTTTTTTGGGAATCTTGCTTATAGAGCTGCACTTTTGCACACAATACCCTTTCTCTGTACATATTGAGATGAGCCCAAGTTAGGAACTACAGAATGGACATTTACTCCTAGCAACTACAAAAACCAAATCTTCTTATTGTGACTTGTTTGTTTCCGGCTACTGATTTGTTTTATTCTTCTCGTTTCGTTTGCCGCCCTCGACTCTTTTTTTTGACTCGTCACTTTGTTTGTCAAAAGTTTAAACGGCCAGGGGGTCTGTCGACGGGCCTGTGAAGCTGCGAGGCTCCAGCACTCAAGGGTTCTGTAACCGAGCAAGGGATGGGGGGGAAGGGGGGGCCAGCTTGCGCGTCCAGTTTGCGTTCTTTTTTTTACCTCCCCCGAGTTGGTGGTTGGTGGTGGTTGGTTTGGTGGCTGGCGCTCCCAACTCTGTGGTGTGATGTGCTGGAAGGGGGGGGGGGGGGGGATGATGGTACGACTGTGGAATACGAAGGCGTCTATACCTACCGGGAGGGGGCTATTTTCTAACATGGGCTAGTCCACATTTTGGGGGGCTGACATGTCTCGCACTGGCTGGCGAATATGGTGCGTGGCGCGATAGACTTTTAAAGGGGCATATAGTCAATCCCAAAACACTAATATAAATCAACATAGCGCAATTTTTTTAACATACTTTAGATATAGTAATACATATTAATAGCATATAAAAAATATACTACTTATATTATCTATTAAGAATACTATATAATATCTTATAAATACTTTTTTTTAACTATACTATTTTTTTAAGATAGTATTATAATTTTATAATCTTTTAAATATAATAAAAGCTTTTAATTCTATATTAATATTTTATTTTTATAATACTATATAATAAATAGACTTTAAGTATTTATAATACTATTAATAGGCTTAATATATATTTAAAGTATAACCTATTTCTTTTAGAAAAGACACCTCTAATAATAAAATAGGGGGGGGGATCTAGTATATAAATACTAGCCTAGCTTTACTAACCTAGGTATATAACTAGCCTTACTTAGGTAGGTAGGTATTTAGTAGAAATTTAATTTATAGTTTAAATTAAGCTAATAAAAGTAGTAAAGCTTAGTAATTATTAATATATAATAAAGTAAAGGTATTAAAGCCTATCCTATTCTAGGTATTACTATAAGCTATCTAGTAAGTAGGACTTACTATATATTACTAGAATACTAAATACCTCTACCTCTACTATCTATATTATATACCTTCTAAAACACCTTCTTATATAGCTCCTAGCTTTTTAAAGTTTCTAATATAAAAAGAACCTAATACTATAATTATTTATAAGTTATATATTATAAAAAGAAATTATAATAAAAAAACCTAAAGATAAAACTATATAACTAATCCTTTATTATAAGAAGAATCTCCTACTACCTAAGCTAAAATATAAATAAAAATAACTAGATAATAGCTATTAGTAAAATTTACTTTAATATAAATATATTAAAAATAAACCTACCTATACTCTATATAGGCTAAATCTTATTATTTACTTAAATACTTAGTAAGCTCTAAGCTTACTAATAGGTTCTCTTTATAAATATTAAAATTAAGGTAAGAAAAAAAATATAGTACTTCTTTAAAGTCTTAATTTATTATAGTATATTATAATAAGGACCTTTAGTAATAACTAAATCCTAGGCTCTTAAGGTAGGACCTAGTAGTATCTAAGGATAAGGGGATATTACTACTAAGTAGAGGATTAACTAGTACTAATATAGAGATATAATATTAAAGAATAGGATAAATATAAATTAAATCTTAAATTCTATAATACCTTTATTATACTAGTAGCTAGGAGAGGTAGGTTAGATAGGATTAAGGAGAGTAATGCTTCTAAATAGTAATAAGGAAGGTAGGACTAGTATAACCTATTCTACTTCTAGTTTACTAGTAATAGATAATATAGTAGAATTATTAATAGGTCTAAGAAAGGTAGGCTTTAACTCTTCTAATACTTTATTATCTTCCTTAGCAATAAGAGCTACTTAAGATTACTTATAAGTAATAGGTATCTACTTTATAGCAAATATCTACTTTATAGTAGTAGCCCTCTTCCTAGGAGTAGTAGGAGTCTTAAGAGTAATAAGCTTTCTCTTTAGGGTAATAGGCTTCTTTTTAGGAATAAGGCGCTTAAGCTTATAAGTAAGACTACCTCCTAAGGTTAAGGTAGTAAGCTTAGATATATTACTTAAGAGCTTATTATCCTTAAAATTATCTATATTATACTTCTTAATTATACTATACTTAGTATCTAAGTCTTTTTTAACTAGGATAGTCTTCTTTTTCTTTATACCTATAGTATATATTAATAAAAAGATTAAGTATAGGTATACTTTCTTATATAGAATAGACCTACTACTTTTTACTTAGATCTATAAGTAGTATACTCCTTTTAAATAAAGCTATATTTATTAATATTAGGCTTATAGTAGCCTTTAATATAGTTAGAATTAAATACTAGAGTTCTCTTCCTTAATATTCTATAACTAGAGTTTATTAGAAATAAAAACTTAAAATCGTTAGGTATTACTAAGCCTATTATAAAGGTATAAATTCTAAGTATAATATTAGGACGCTTAGTTATAAATATATTCTAAGCTAAGCTAAGCTAGGATTTATCTCTATTCTTAATTTATAGAGTATAGAGAAAATTTATAGTAGTTAGATAGACCTTTAGATCCTTTAGGCCTAGAAGGCTTATATCCTAAAGAGTATAGTATAATAGGTTACTAGAGTTATAGTTAGTAGATTTCTTAGGAATAGTAGTAAAAGGATTTACTTACTTTATTTTCTTTATAGCCTTAAATATAATAGCTTTAGTTATTAATAGACTAGTAATAGGCTTAGTAGCTTAAGATAACTTAGGGGTACTTATACTAATTATTACTATAAGAAATAAGGGCTTTCTACTAGCCTTATACTTATACTTAAAAGATAGGATAGGATAGTAATAAATTAAAAAGATATAGTAAAATAGGTAGTAAGAAGCTTAAGATTATCCTCTTATAAAGAAATAATAATATAGAAGGGAGGTATTAAAGAAGAGAGAGAAGAAGCTAGTAGGAAAGGAAATAAGAATAAAGGTAGCTATATTTATTTACTAAATATAACACTAGCACTATACTATTTAAAGAATATAAATAGCCTTAAATAGGAATCCTAATATAAAGGGGTTAAACTTATACTATAAACACTATATATATATAGCTATTAATACAATCTTGGCTATTAATACTAGTAAAATATTACTAGATAGGTAATACTTAATCTTTAATATTAGAAATAAGTATAAGGCTAGTACTTTTATTTCTTTATACCTTATAGTAGAAATTTTTCTATAGGTATATATATTACCTAGTATTTTCCTTTTTTAATTACCTACTCTCCTTTTACTACTATACTTTATACTAGTAATGCTATTACTATTACTACCTTCTCCTCCTTAGCTTCCTCCTCTTCTTCTTTTTATTCTAGCTTATCTTCTAGTTTATTATAGTATCTTTTCTTTCTTTACTAAAGCTAGGAGTATATATAATATCTTATTAAAATAAAATAATTATATTACTATTATTTAGATCTAGAATCTCTATACTTTTAGTCTATACTAGGTTATTTAGAATAGTAGTAGTTAAGTCTTCTTTCTTTATACTTTATTTTATAATCTTAATAGCTTCTAATATATCTTATAATACCTTTTTATAAATTATATTAAACTAGCTCTTATTAGTACTTACTAAGAGGGAGGGTAATGCTATTAGCTAGGGAGTTTACTCTAAAGGTAGTAAAGAGGAGGTAGAATTATTACCTACTATTTTATTATAATAAGAACTCTATAAAAGTTATATATTTTAATTAGTAAAAAAAGAAGAGAAGATACCTAAAAGAAAAGCTTACCTAGCTTATAGAAAGAAGTAATATATACCTAGGTTAGGAGAAAATTCGTTTAAGGTAAGGAGTAAATAGCTAGGGCAATAATATAATAAGGTAGTTAGGTTAGTAATTATATAATATTAGCTACGTTTCTTCTAAATAAAAGCTAAAATATTTCTAGTAAAAAATAATTATTATTCCTTCTAGTTATTATTATACTATTTATTTTATAATATATACTATATATACTCCTTAGAATTCTAGGCTTAATAAAAATAAGTAACCTATATAGTGCCTAGTAAATTAAAATACTAATATAGATAAAGCGCTACCTAAAGTCTATACTATTAAGACTAAAGCTATAAAAATAAATAGGTGCTAAGTTAATATAGAGAAAAAACCTAATAAGGGTAGAAAAATCCTAGTTATATAAGTTATATTACTACTAAACTAGTCGTTATTCTACTCCTAGAGGCTTCTAATATTAAAGTTATATAAGTAAGGATTAATCTAATATATAGGGTCCTTAATAGTAGTGCTAGATATATTATATTTATATAAATAATTAGAAAGTATTATAAATAGTATACTATCTAAATAGTTATTATAAATACTATAGTAGCTTAAGTTAGAATTAGAGTTAG